TTTTATTATTTTTTTTTATTTTTTTTTTTTTTTTTTTTTTTTTTTTTTTTTTTTTTTTTTTTTTTTTTGGTGCAGTTCCAGTCTGCTTTCAAGCACAATTATTAAAAATGAAGAAAAACGTACCAACTAACAAGGGGTGTGTGGAAAAAGGCTCTCTTCATTGAATTTATACAATATGCTTAAAAATATTAATGTTCTTAGTCTGCATTTTATCATATAAATTATATTAAACATTTCATAAAGTCTCACATGGTTTTCTATAATACATATAAAATAGTGTCAATAAATCACAGAAATCTTTCCACCTCTAATGGCACCCTAATGTAAAACCGATTTCATAAGACGCAGTAATAACTTCAACGTCAGAGGATTTGGTTATGAAAATATGATCTTCAGACTACTCAGTAATACATTCTTTGTGCACCACTTTTTCCTGTGGTGAATGATCTAAAATGAGAACAGGAAGCAAATAAGAAAAAAAAATAGTCGTAGTTATGTTTTGATTGTGCATTTGAAGCATGCTCACCCACCTCAGCTGGGAAGGACCCGAGGCAATGAAACCGGCTGCTCCAATGCTGAGAGAGGGAGGGAGTGGGAGGCCAAGCCCAAACAGATGAGCCTTATCTGGGCAGAGCATGTGTGAGAAGCCCTTCCACCCCCATCTGTCCTGGAGCTCTGGCTTGTCTGTCTTCCTTTCAGCTTTGAAAACGTATACTCTTGAGCACGTCCAAACCCACAGTACCACACATTCATCAATGCAAACATGCACGCACACACACACATTCACTGTGCTGTAAATAAAAAACAAACAAACTTGGAAATAAAAAAAATTAAAAAAAAACAGAAACAGAATGTGCAAAAGCACAGATATGCACTTTTTGCTCCCAGTCTCCTTCGCGCATTCATAAAAGCACAAGCTCTGCCAAGCCAGTACAGCCACCGAGAAAGTGGAAGTCTTTGTGCGTTTATCTGCAGAATGCCTCAGTTTTAGTCCCTTGCAATAAAGTTAAAGCGCATCAGAGCATAAAAGCCGTCTGTCCTTTAAAGACTGTGGTTGATAAACACATGTTAGAAGCTTCTCTTTACTGTCTGTCCCCATCCCATTGGAACTAAGATGTGTGAAAAAATAAAAAAGACTTTCATTTAAACAGGTTTGAGCGTCTGTGCTGTGTGAGATGTCAGGTTGGGGTTTTACGACCGCATGGGTCATCCTCATAAAGTAATCTGGCTCAGAAAATCTGCTGCGATACTTTCTTTCTGTGAGGATTCTGCTCCCCCCCCGCCCCCTTGACTTCTTCCTTTCTTTAAACTGTAAACCGTCATCAGAAATCTCTAAAGGATTCTCGTCTCCCACCTCGGCAGAATCGGGTCATGGCTCAACGCGCAACGTTCATTTCTGAACGCATGTCTTTGCGTGTGCTTTGGTGTTTTGCCGTATGCATGCATGTTTGAGCTGTGACTCAGTGATTTTTGGGATTATGGTATTAGGCCCTAGATGAGCGGGCCTGATCCCAAATCAAACACACACTGACAGTCTCCCACATCACACACACTCGCACACAATCCCCTGCAGGACAGGCAGCGTCAGCCGAGTCTTACGCAGAGAGAGCCTTACAGTCGTACTGCCATTGTAGGCGAAACATCCACAGTATACTCAGATTAGGCCCATGATCGTCTTAGCTTGTATTATAAAACAAGACGACGGAACAATCCAACACCAGAGGACACTGGGCCTTGTGAAAACATTAATCCCAAGAACTTATATGATTTTCAACCTTTATTACTTTGACATAAACCATCTCAGAGTGGTAGACTTTAATAATCCATTTCATTTTTTTCCCCCTGTCATACAGCTGTAATCATAAGAATAATTGATGTTCACTGGGATGTTCGCATCAAGAACCGCGATTGTTTCTTAATCAGCTGCTTTTTAAAAACTTGTGGGATGTAGTGATTGCACTCGATATTAATTGAATGAACACTATGGTTCTTTTTTTTTATTATTTTAGAAATGTACACTCACCAGCCATTTATTATGAACACCTGTTCAGTTGTCTTTTAACATGAGTAGTGAATCAGCTAATCAGATGGCAGCAAAGCATTGAAGTGTTTTTGAATCTGGGACGGTTGGTATTAGACAGGTTGGTCTGAGTTTTTAAGAAGCAACTGGTTTAATTTTTACACACAATGACTCAGATTTATAGAGAAATTTAAGAAAAGTAGAAAATATGTTCAATGTGCATCAGTGTTCACCAGATCTTGGTGTTATAAATCAAATAATCACTAACCAGTTTAGAACAATCCAGTTCAGGTTTGATAAGTCTAAATATTTTCAACTTCAGATGATCAAAGTAGTCCAGACATCCTTAATGACTCACAGTTAACCGATTGGAAAACATATACTTTTTTTAATCTGGTCTTTCACCGGTTTGTTTTCCTACTGAACATCCACAATATTGTCACACAAATTATTTTAAGCTATAAGAATTTTGTCATTTTTTCATGGGTCTTTCCCTTAATTCCCCAGTCTCCTGATGATTTCCTTTGTGTTCTCGTTGTCCAGGTGTCCCTGGCAGTGACTATATTAATGCGAACTACATTGATGGCTACCGCCGTCAAAATGCCTACATAGCCACTCAAGGCCCTCTTCCGGAGACCTTTGGGGACTTCTGGAGGATGGTCTGGGAGCAGCACACAGCCAACATCGTCATGATGACCAAGCTGGAGGAGAAGTCACGGGTGAGACGATGCGGTGTAATTACGCTGGAGTGAGACAGCCATAACACGGTAGAATAACGACAATTCAACATACTCGGGTTTACCACTAGTGGAAAATACAAAGGTCAAGGAAGCTCACACACTGTGGAAGTGTAGTTAACTGCTTAAAGCCCATGAAATAAAGTGAATAAGACATTAGATTGTATGTCTAGAATGATTAATTGTGGCACTGGAAGCGACTCAGAGTCAACTGTAGCAGACTAGGAAGAAAAAAAAGGTTTATCATGAAGGAACTTTATAAAGTTACTTGAAATTATTCGATTGTCACACACTAACAAGTTGCATCTGCAAGTTGACAGATTTATAAAGTTAGTGCATAGGTTTTCTCACTGCATATAGAGACAGGGTGTGTCATAGACTAGTAGGCAATCAAATGTACTTCATTAGGTTTTTGGGTGTTTTCTTATCAATTGGAAAGATCAACAAAATATTGCTTTCCACTTCACACGCATGTGAAGTGGAAAGAAAATGATAAGTAAAGAAAATGACAAGTAAAAAGCTGGAAAATGTGGCACACATTTGTATTCACGCCTCCTCAATCTGATACCCCTGAAGAAATCCTGCAGAACCAATTCAGAAGTCACGAGTTGTGGACAGCAGAGTAGTTATTCTTTTGTTACAAAGATTTGCCCTCATCAAAGAGAGCTAAGAAGAAAACTGTTGTTAAAAGAAAACCATGACTGTGAAGTTCTGCTGAAGTTCTGCTTGTGGCAAACTGTGAAGAGCATGGGTAAGGCTAAACATATTTTTTTTTTTTAAAAAAAAGCATTTCTTTGGTCAGACGAGACTGAAACTTAACTTTTAGGCCTATATGTAAAACGCATCATGCTGTGGGGATCCTGTTCATTGGCAGGAACTGACAAGGTAAACGGAGATGAACGGAGCTAAAATACAGGGAAATCCTGAACGACAACCTGAGAGAGGCAGCAAAAGAGCCAGGAGTTGAGCAGAGTCTCCCTTTTCAGCGGGAAAATGAGCTCAGTCACACAATAAAGGCTAAAATGGAATTTTAGAAAATGTCCTAGTTAAAGTCTAAATCTAAAAGCTTCTAAGAATCTGTGGCAAGACTTGAAAACTCTGTCTTTCAAATGCTCTCAACCCAGTTTGATTTGAGCACGTGGGTCTGTACATGAGGAATTTATTAAAAATGTTTGATTGTGCAAAGGTGGCACAGACGAACCCCAAAAGACTTGCACCTGAATTTTAAGCAAAGGGTGCGTCTACAAAAGTATTAAGGGCAGTTCCACATTTTTTTGGCTGTTTGTTTGAAATTCAGTGTCAGTCATGTATCCTTTTCATCCCCCTTCAGTCTATATGTATTACATTAAAACTTGGACTTCTCTCATGACTAGAGTTAAAAGGGTACGAACACGTTTCCAAGGCTCTGCGCATAATCATTAGTTTTAAATCATTTTGCTTTGCTTAAAGCAGTGAGCAGCACAAGGCCACATGCAGTGGATCAGAATAGAATAGAGCAGAACAGAATATGTTGGTGAGCAAGGCCGAAAGGGGATTACAGACGCAGCTAAACTGCGGCCGGTGATGAATTAGAAAGTCTTTTGGTTCTGAGGCATTTTGCTGTTAACTGAATGTGCGCTTGAGTGAAAAACCAGTATAATGAGAATGTCATGTAAAAGTAAAATGAACAAGAATGGCTCGAGGCATGAATCATGATTAAGTGCTAACCAATTATGTCCAGAGTCCTTTTCAGAAAACGATCCTTTCTCCCCGTCTGTGCTTCTTCTCCTACTAACCTATGCTTTGTGTTAAAACTCTGTTTCCGTTTCAACCTTTTCCAACTGTCTCTGTTGTGTCTCTCTGACCCTCAGATGCCCTCTTATTTCTTCTCTAAGGCAAGATCTCTCTTTCACTCCTTTTCTAATCCTCCCTTTTTTTAATGCACCCTTATTCCCTTTGCCCCCCTGTTCCCCCTGTTTGGTTTGTTTTCTCGGCTGTATTAAGTGATAATGCAGACTCATTTACCAAAACACAACATGTTCTGAAACGGGTTTTACTACATCCACTGCAGGTCAGAGACAGTGCACATGAATGTGTACAGTTTGCATGATCACAATACTTTTTCTTTTTTGTCTCCCACCAATAAAAAGAAGAGTAGCTCATCAGTCATTACATAAAATCCTAGTTAACATCTGAGGCTAAAGATTATTGAAGATTTTTTTATATTTTTTTATCTGTGTTGTCAAGGTCCTGAATGGACATCTTTTAATTTGGACATATTTGCCTCTTTCCTTTCTTCCCAGCCCTGGACGACTGTATATGTCTGAGTAGCGAGCTGCTCATTTGAGAAAACCATTTGATCTTACTAACACCTCTCAACGTTACGCAGTCTTGTATTTACCCATTAAGTATAAAGATGATCACAGATGGTTCCACCGTGGGAATCTTGCCAGAACCCTTCCTCCTAGAGCAAATCAAGCCACAGTCTCGCTGCTGGGCCATAAATCTATGGTTAATATAGTCGTCACACCAGTTTCCTTTTTTATTCTGCCCTCTTTATTCGCTGGCAGCGCTCTCAGGCCCCCCTACGTATATAACCATTTGTGTCCCTGCAGTGTCTCAAGGTCTGGTGGGAAAACAACAGTTGGAAAGCTGTAATTACAGCCTGAACATCCCAGGCCAAAAAGCATAATCCTCAGTTTGGAGCAGTGGAATGCAGAGCAAACTGAGCCGTCTTTGATGTGAGGACTGGAGGGATCAGCACATAACGTTTGGTTTGGCCTGGTTCTGCCAAGGCCCACTGCCGCCCCCCCCCCCTCCTCCCCCTTCCCCCCAAGCCCCCACCAACCTCTTTTATCTCCTCTGGGATTTTCTTTTCTTCCCTTCTCTTTAGTTTCTGAAGCCGAGTTGCAGAACTACAAATATGACCGCCCTAGACCAAGAAATTCCAGGTGCTTTGGTGGTTGTGGCATGCCATGAGATTCCTCTGTAGGTATTTGTGATGGAGCGCAGGGGAACACGCATAGCCAAGTCTCGTCCCGAGCATTTTTACAACCAATAAGTGGTTCCGTTGGAGGATTCGTCAGCGGGTGGCCATTTTCTCTCTACTTTCTTCCTCTCGCTGTCACTGTTCGCTGCACACGCTCACTAAAACCCTTCTGCCGCCACACTCGTCTGATTCTGTGTGCATATATCTGTCTGAATTATTTAAAATCTCAAACTGATCTACTTCATCACTGTCCTCTCTGTTTTTTCACTTCTTTTTGCACTTGTGCCCTCTTCGGTGTTTTTTCTACAGAAATGTGCACATGTGAAATAAACAAGCTCTGCATCTCACAAGTCCTCGTCTTCTCCTTTGTAGGTGAAATGTGATCAGTACTGGCCAACACGTGGCACAGAGACCTACGGTCTCATCCAGGTCACTCTGCTGGACACAGTGGAGCTGGCCACCTACTCTATGAGGACCTTCGCGCTTTACAAGGTAGCATGCGAAACAGCAATGCCTCTTTTTCAAAATCAAGTGTCCACATGATATTTTTTGAAGAGAGATGCTCCTCAACACTGCCAATACTGATTTCAGCTGATTCCAAATTATTATTATTATTTTTTTTTTAATGTAAAATAAATTATTTGATCAATTGATCAAAATTAACACATTGAAGTCTCGGCAACTCTGATTTCAGACATTTTTGAGATGGTAATTAGAAATGGGTGAGTTTTTAGATTGCTGAAATTGTTGAAATGATTTACCATTTGGTAACTGCATGACATTGTTCAGGCAGTTTTGTTTGTTTCTCAAACCCTAAAGTAATCCAGCAAAGATACTCAGATCTAGAAATAACTGTTAACTATGAATACAGGCATCTATCAAAAAAAAAGATAAGAAAAGAAAATCTAAATACAAAAATAGACTAAAGGTTCAATGCATTAAATTTCTCTGAACTTACTTTTTTCAAGTAATTTGCAAATATTTTTTCTACATTTAAATTTTCAGGAGGATAACTTTTTTTTTTATCTTGATGATTTTAAAATAATTTATTAAAAGAATAGCTGTATCTCAATCGGTGTTTGATCTGCCCTCTCTGCTCCTGCAGAGCGGCTCTAATGAGAAGCGTGAGGTTCGTCACTTCCAGTTCACAGCCTGGCCGGACCACGGGGTCCCCGAACATCCCACCCCGTTCCTGGCTTTCCTTCGCCGGGTCAAAGCCTGCAACCCCCCAGACGCTGGACCAATGATTGTGCATTGCAGGTGTGTCTGATTTTCTATGATGTTGTCTCATCAGCCACGGAGGTGCGTTTATGCCTATTCAGTGAATACAAAAGGGAAATGAACCCGATCCTCAAGATGTTTTTGAGGGGGGAGTTTGGGGTTTTAGTTTATGAAAATCAGCCAGAGTTGGAGAGCACTTGTTTAAAACTTTTTAGACAGCCTGGAATTACCTGCCAATATGCAAACCCCAGACCACCATGACTGGCTTAGGCTCCCGGATTCCTTTCTTAACAAAATTCACCATCTCAAACATTTCCCATGATTACTTTCCAGTGTTGAAAATTGGCCATTCATGCTGCCGGAGAAGCCGGGTTCGTAAGTTTACATTTAAATGAGTTGCTGTCTAAGCAGCGGGAGGCTCATTTGCTGGATGGAAGAAGATTCTGAAAACGTGTCATTACTGTCACGGCACAGTGTCGAGCTCCAGAGTTAGAAAGAAACAGCTATTTGCTTTTACCAGTGAGCGAGAGAGAGCGAGCGAGCGAGGGGAGGAAAAAAAAGATAGAGCTGAGTGGGGAAAATATGGAGCAGAAGCTCTCAGGAGGAGGAATTAGTGGAGTATGGACGTGGAGGAAGAAAGGGAGGGGGGATCGGACACAATGATTGAGAGAAAGTGGTACCAAGGGGAGTGGAAGTTAGAGGGGGAGATTTGTGCAGAATGGGAGAGAAGGTGAAGCGAAATCCTGGACGCAGTGAATGAAAATGATGAATTAAAGAATCACGGAGATGGGGAGAAAATGGAGTGTAAAAAAAAAAAAAAAGCAAGAATGTGAGAGTGAAAAAGTGGCGGTGCTGGCGTTTGAGTTTTGGACGGGTACTTAGGGTGAAGATAAAGAGGCAGGGGGATGAGGGCAGGAGGCTGCCAGGAGAGGAGCTCTTCCTAATCTTCTGTCGCAGTCAGATGGAGTATCCAGCAGGATTATCAGTCAAATTTAATTATCTCGGCAAGACTCCATCATGATGGGCCTTAACACATCAACCGGCCTCAACACGCACATGCAGAGTAATATTAATGTAATCATATAAAGGGTTCTGTATTCGCTTGCAGAAACCTGCTCAGTCAGGCCGTCTCGCCGTTTAGGTACCAGCGCAGCAGAAACGTGAAGTGTTTGGGTCGGCAGCTAAATGTATTAAATTTCAGGATTATATGTCGATAGGGGCGATATGATTATGATGCTGACTCACTGCTGATTTTGATTTTTTTACAAGCCTTGTTGGTACTGTCGCCAGTTGGCGTCTTTGCCGTGTTTTGCTTCATTTATGCGGAGCTTTCCAAGCTCAGATTTAGTGCTTACATTGGTCTCATCCAACCTAGGTGAGACAATCGCATCACCATCTGTCGGCCCATTTATTCGTTTATTTATTTATTATCGTTGTAGCGCCGGTGTGGGCCGAACCGGCTGCTTCATCGTCATCGACGGCATGACAGAGCGCATCAAGCACGAGAAGACTGTCGACATTTACGGCCACGTCACGCTGATGCGCTCTCAGAGGAACTACATGGTCCAGACGGAAGACCAGTACATCTTCATCCACGATGCTTTGCTGGAGGCCGTGACGTGCGGGAACACCGAGGTCCCCGCCAGAAATCTGTACTCCTACATCCAGAGGCTGACACAAATTGAGCCGGGAGAGAACGTCACTGGCATGGAGGTGGAGTTCAAGGTAAGGACAAATACGTGCACCACCGAAGAATTTATTAGATGTAAGATGATTTGTTTGATTTATTAGATGTGTTTGTTTTATACAACACATAAAACAAACATGACATGTACTAGCTTTGGTACAAGCGACCTATAAAGAATCTGCAAAAATCACCTTAAATGTTTGGGAAAATCAACCACCAAAAGTATAATAAGAAAAAAAGTGTGTATAAAAAAAATAAGTTAGGAACATTAACAAATGAGAAAAATTAAATAACTTAATAAATTGTATATAAAATTGTATTAAGATAGAAAATGGAAAAAAATAAATAATGAAATAAAAAATTAAACTTGGTAAAGCAAAAAGACTGGAAATAAAATGAGTAGTTAAATAGCAGTGTGAATGTATGAATGTTAAATTCATACTATTGAAAATGATAATAATAATTTATGTCACTCCGTGTCGCTCTTTTTCTTTTTTGGGGGGATGCAAATCAAGCCATTTATTTATTTTTTTCTATATTTATTGATACTTTTGGCAGGATTCGTTCTCCACAGGAATGTTTTGACTGTTAACCTCTAAGCCTCTTTCCTGTCTTATTAGTTTTTACTAGTTCTTATCATTTCAGTTCACCTTAAAGACGTTGCTACATGAATTAAGGTTGAAGCTCAAGGCGGCTGCTGGTTTGCAGCTCTTCCTTGTGAGGCTTAAGATATCTGCTGCTACCAGAGAGGATGGTGCCTCTGAAACATGTTTTTTTTTTGTTCTTTACACAAAGTTGTACTTTTGTAAACTTTGAGTAAAAAAGTTTACAAAAGAACTTTTGCTGACTTATGGAGCTGGTTTAAACACAGAAAACACCAGCAGACAACAGTTGCTCTGAAGCTGTTTTACTCTTTTAACTTTTTTACTCTGATATCCACTTCATCTGATAAGATCTCTGCAGGCTTAACTGATCTGGCTTTCTCAGGTATACATAAAGCAAAAGCAGGTGGTTCAGACTTTTCCAGGAAATGTTTTTATGTCTGCTCAAACACTCAGAGGGCAAAGTCAACATAAAGCAACGCCGCATAGTCTCCTTCCATGAAATGGCCCAGCATTCCCCTCTTAATAGCAGTGGTCTCCTTCCAAAAGACAGCGAATAGGAACCAAAATGCCAGGATCGTCTTTTTCGTTGCGTTTCATCTTGGTGGAACACCCACGGGACGTCGCGGGTTTCCATCTGAAGCGCCCACCACTAGAAAAACACTACAAAGCGCCGGGGATTTCTCATGGATGATGGGTGTCACATCCAAACGCATAAAAATCAAAGAAAAGCTGAAGCATGTGTGTGAGAAAATCAACAAATGCGGTTCCGCGGCTCCACGTTTAAGGCGGCGTGTTTTTGTTTTTTTTTGTTGTTTTGTTTTGTTTTCTGTTTTCTCCTTGCTCAACATTTTCAAAGCCGATATTGGCATGTCTCAAATGGGGTGGTAAAGACGTCGTGTTTGTTTGCTGATAAAACAGAATCAAAGTCAGCGCAGGCGGCGTGAAGAGTTACTGTTGTTGATGCTGGAAAGCCGGTTCGCTGCCGTAGCCGGATGACTGGTGGAGCTGTGGTCAGGGGGGCGGATTTTCTGTCTCAACTCGTCTGTGAGAAAACAAGGTAGAGCTGGTTCTTTCGCAGCCGCTCACTTAACCGGACCCCATTGTTCCGCCAGCGTCTGCGGTTTCTCCCTCGGCCCGTTTTTCTGTTGTTCTGTCTCCCATTTAAAAGCCATGTCATCCAATAGCCGAGGGTCAGGGGAGTATTCCCCGTGTCTGCACATGTACTTACATAAAATCATGGTTTGATTTTAAAAAAAAAGGAAGGAAAAAAAAAGACTGTCTTTATTTTTCTTCCTTAGGGTGAGGGTCTTTTCTTTTATTTTTCTACTTTTTTTCCCCCTTCCGGTGCTAGTTCATGTGTGGTTCACATATGTGAGCTGAGACAGTGTGGGGCCTTGTGGTTTCCTGCACCCCAACTCTTGATTTTCTCCTCTTATTCGTCTCATTATATTCGCCCCTTTCCATTCCTGAACCGCTGCCCCGATCCCTTGGAGTCGCCCCCGCTTTGTTTATTCAATTTAAGACGTCTGGCTAAATATCCTGAGGCCTGCCTGGTTTAACCAATCTTCCTGTTTTACTTATGCAGGTCGCCAGAGGATGTCCAGACCTTGTGTTGAATCCATTTCAATACGCTTCTTGAATTTGTTTTCACTTTTTTCCCCTTCAGTTGACCCACAGCGTTACTTCGTAGACTCTTATTTTGAAACGTTATCAAAAGGGTGTAATTTTGCAATGATGTAATATACATATAATGGATGTTGTGCTTGCTTCCAGCGTCTGGCCAGTGCCAAGGCCCATACGTCTCGGTTTGTGAGTGCCAATCTGCCATGCAACAAGTTCAAGAATCGACTGGTGAACATTATGCCCTATGAGACGACGCGCGTGTGTCTGCAGCCAATCAGAGGGGTGGAAGGGTCCGACTACATCAACGCCAGCTTCATTGATGGATACAGGTGGGTATGCTTGAAATTGCTGTTGCTTTGTCTGGAGGGTGCGCTACACATTTATCATCCGCTTTTGTTTGCAGGCAACAACGGGCCTACATAGCAACCCAAGGCCCGCTGGCTGAGACCACAGAGGACTACTGGAGAATGCTGTGGGAACACAACTCCACTATAGTTGTCATGCTGACCAAACTGAGAGAAATGGGACGGGTACGTCAAAGACTAACATGCATAGTGGAAGTAATTTTTTTTTTTTAATGCCACAACCATAAAATGGACAACTATTAGTCATATCCTCTGTAAATCTGTTCCTTATGGCAGAAAGTTGAAAGAAGTTACATGTGTAGTTTGCCACAAAACATCAGATGAAACCATAATTGAACCTTTTTGCTCCACATACAAATCTCTGTGTGGTAGCTATGTAACACCACACATCACCCTAAACACTCTAAACCAGGGTGTCAAACTCAATTTCACCAAGGTCCACTTCAGCATATTGGCCACCCTC